AAAGAGGGACCGAAGTCCCAGAAGAGAAAGAGGACGAGATAGGTCCCCAAGAAAAGACAGAAATCGATCCCCCCAAAGAAGGGGAGACATCAGAGATCGTTTGGGACCACCTCATCTAGAGTTGCAGCTGAGGTAAGCACCTCAGCAGGTCCTTCCGCTCACCACAACAATATCGCAAATCTTGTATGAGGTATAAAACAAAAAATTCCTGAGGTGAGCACCCCTGGCGAAAAATTTACCCCAGTCCTAGAATGCAAAACATCTTAGAAAATTTTTTTAGTAAGTTTATCCTGTAATATGATTATTAATAAAGCAGTAAGTTTGTGGTTCATTCATTCTTAAAAAAAGTCCTAGAGTTCACGATGAACTCGTTAGTTCATAAAAAGAGCTCGAGAGCTCACGATGAACATGTTAGTTCATAAAAAGAGCCATAAAGTTCACGATGAACTCGTTAGTTCATAAAAAGAGCTCGAGAGCTCATGACGAACTCATTAGTCCATAATAAAAACTTTAGAGCTCATGATGAACTCGTTAGTTCATAAAAAGAGTGCGGGAGCTCACGATGAACTCATTAGTTCATAAAAAGAGCCCTGAAACTCACGAGGAACTTATTAGTTCATAAAAAGAGCTCGGGAGCTTACGACGAACTTATTAGATCATAAAAAGAGCCCTAAATTTCACGATAAACTCGTTAGTTCATAAAAAGAGCTCAGGAGCTCACGACGAACTCATTAATTCATAAAAAGAGTCCTACAACTCACGATAAACTTATTAGTTCATAAAAAAAGTCATGAAGCTCACGATGAACTCGTTAGTGCATAAAAAGAGCTCGGGAGCTAACGACGAACTCCTTAGTTCATAAAAAGAGCCCTAAAGCTCACGATAAACTCGTTAGTTCATAAAAAGAACCCTAGAACTCACAACAAACTCATTAGTCTATAAAAGAGCACTGGAGCTCCTGATGAACTTGTTAGTTCACAAAAAGAGTCCTGGAGCTCACGTTGAACTTATCAGTCCATAAAAATAGCTCGATAGCTCAGGACGAGTTCTTCTATCCCTAAAGCAAACGCAGTAACTCAGAATGCGCTTCTCAATCTAGAAGAACTAAAAGCAAGACCTGCAGCACGTAGACTAGAGGGAAAGCTTCACAGCTTTTATCCATTACAAAAAGAAAAAATGGGGGTCTTTGGTTTATAAGCCAGGAAATGACATGGAAGATCAACGGCCACATTCTCAAAGCCACAAATTGTGTATAAGAAGCGACAAACATGAAAAAGGAAAATCAATGTTTCAAGAACATCAAAGATTACAAAAAAACCAATCAAAGCAAAATTCCTAGTTGTCTCTGCAGTTCAGCTATCCTCTCTTTCAAACGCAGGTTTTTCTCCTTCAGTTCATCCCTCTCCTTCTCAGTCGTTGACAGTAGATCCATCAATTTTTGCCCAGCCGAGAAAAACAGAACTTCCNTTATCCATTACAAAAAGAAAAAATGGGGGTCTTTGGTTTATAAGCCAGGAAATGACATGGAAGATCAACTGCCACATTCTCAAAGCCACAAATTGTGTATAAGAAGCGACAAACATGAAAAAGGAAAATCAATGTTTCAAGAACATCAAAGATTACAAAAAAACCAATCAAAGCAAAATTCCTAGTTGTCTCTGCAGTTCAGCTATCCTCTCTTTCAAACGCAGGTTTTTCTCCTTCAGTTCATCCCTCTCCTTCTCAGTCGTTGACAGTAGATCCATCAATTTTTGCCCAGCCGAGAAAAACAGAACTTCCCCTAAGAAAGATCTGGATGAAGGAAAAGATGAACTATCACTCATGCGTTTCTTGATATGAGTCCCAACATCCTTGCTCTCATCAGACCCGTTAGAAGAGAGATCAGATTCAGGGAAAAAGGGAAAATCCCGTTCAGTTGTAGCAACACTCAACAAGAACAGATTATCTGGCATCATGAGATCAGGAAAAGACATGGGCTCAACTTGGGTCATTTGTTCCACCTTCATCAATTCAAGCAGGTTCAGGTCAGGAGCACCTACATGCAAAAAAAAAAANGTTTTTCTCCTTCAGTTCATCCCTCTCCTTCTCAGTCGTTGACAGTAGATCCATCAATTTTTGCCCAGCCGAGAAAAACAGAACTTCCCCTAAGAAAGATCTGGATGAAGGAAAAGATGAACTATCACTCATGCGTTTCTTGATATGAGTCCCAACATCCTTGCTCTCATCAGACCCGTTAGAAGAGAGATCAGATTCAGGGAAAAAGGGAAAGTCCCGTTCAGTTGTAGCAACACTCAACAAGAACAGATTATCTGGCATCATGAGATCAGGAAAAGACATGGGCTCAGCTTGGGTCATTTGTTCCACCTTCATCAATTCAAGCAGGTTCAGGTCAGGAGCACCTACATGCAAAAAAAAAAAAAATTCCCGTGCAAACTTCAAAGTTGCTGATTGGGAAACCGTTCTGCTACATCTTAAGCTCAGCCTTCGCCCAAGCCAACTTAACCAAGAGTTGGGGGGGCAACTGGTGATACTTAGAGCAATTCCCAAGTATGAGCTTGGGAGCGGAGGTCAGATGCATAGAGCTCATAAAATCAGAGTAAAGTTCAGCCCAATCGAAGTAGCAGCGGAAGTAACAAAGAGATAGCTATTTGTCAATAGAAACCCTAGAGGCAGCAAAGAGTCATAATCGAAGCATAAAACTCTCATATATGAAAGATCTCCTTCTAAGATCAAGAAGGATTCCTCGGATAAATGACGAAGATCTCGGGGCGGATCCCGCAGAATTAGGAAAANGCAAAAAAAAAAAAAATTCCCGTGCAAACTTCAAAGTTGCTGATTGGGAAACCGTTCTGCTACATCTTAAGCTCAGCCTTCGCCCAAGCCAACTTAACCAAGAGTTGGGGGGGCAACTGGTGATACTTAGAGCAATTCCCAAGTATGAGCTTGGGAGCGGAGGTCAGATGCATAGAGCTCATAAAATCAGAGTAAAGTTCAGCCCAATCGAAGCAGCAGCGGAAGTAACAAAGAGATAGCTATTTGTCAATAGAAACCCTAGAGGCAGCAAAGAATCATAATCGAAGCATAAAACTCTCATATATGAAAGATCTCCTTCTAAGATCAAGAAGGATTCCTCGGATAAATGACGAAGATCTCGGGACGGATCCCGCAGAATTAGGAAAAACCCTATAAATACTATGTAACGCCTCCAACAGAGGGGCAGAACCCTAGGATCATATCTTATATTCTGTAAACCTTTTGGTATAGTAAATAGTGAAGGAAGGAGCAAGAATCTCCATTGAATAGTGGATTAGCCGAGCTCCCGAACTGGTGAACCACTATATTTCTACTGCGTTAATTTCTCAACTCCCCAACAATTCTCAGTATCATTCCCTCGAGTCTAGTAGCTCAGATCCCAATAATTCCAATATTGTTTCTTTCATTTATTCGTCATCACAAAATTGCATCACATTGAAATACACCATCAAAACAATAAAATATTTTTTTAAAAAAATTTTCCTGTAAATTTATCATTATAATCAATTACATGCATGAAAATATATTTTCTATCATTTTTTTTTTCACTTTACTTTTTATTATTTTCACTTTCTATCTTTTTTTTCTTTTTAATCAAACGGATCCGTAGTGATGCAGAGGCAATGAATGAGATGGTGGAAATACTGNTTCGTCATCACAAAATTACATCACATTGAAATACACCATCAAAATAATAAAATATTTTTTTAAAAAAATTTTCCTGTAAATTTATCATTATAATCAATTACATGCATGAAAATATATTTTCTATAATTTTTTTTTCACTTTACTTTTTATTATTTTCACTTTCTATCTTTTTTTTCTTTTTAATCAAACGAATCCGTAGTGATGCAGAGGCAATGAATGAGATGGTGGAAATACTGCAAATTATGAGAAAATTTTGTCATATAAAATATCAAAAAATAATAACTTTGGACCCTGAGGTTTTATAATAAAAACTTGCGCTTAGACATATTGAATTAATACATTAGGAAATTATACTGGTCATCAATTTTCAAACAAAAAGCAAAAGAAATAATATATGTGGGGCTGTATGTTTATTGTCTTTGTCTTGTGTTTTATTTTTATTTTTTTTAATTTTTGTCAAAAATGAAAACAAAAATATGTTTGGGTACTGTTTTTGTTTTATATTAGTTGTCTGGAAACAAAGTCAAAAAAATGAGAACAAAAAAAAGATGTTTAAAGAAACACAGAAAACAATACGCGCGCAAAGGGGTGGGGGAATTAATGAGATCTTGGCTTCGAGTCCTATTAGCAACAAAACAGAATTATTGATTTTTGGATAAAGGTAATTTTCTCTACCTAATTTTATAAANATATTAGTTGTCTGGAAACAAAGTCAAAAAAATGAGAACAAAAAAAAGATGTTTCAAGAAACACAGAAAACAATACGCGCAAAGGGGTGGGGGAATTAATGAGATCTTGGCTTCGAGTCCTATTAGCAGCAAAACAGAATTATTGATTTTTGGATAAAGGTAATTTTCTCTACCTAATTTTATAAATTATCTTGAAAATTGGATACATGTTTAATAATTTTTGAGTTTTTATTTGATCTAACATACGGTTTTTATAATTATTATATTTTTTAAGCATATTTTGTTATTATTAATAATTATTTTTTATTTTTTTATTATATAACCGGTGACCAGTGATCCAATAGTTGAACCACTGCCCCATTAACCCAATCCTCTCGGTGGGTTAACATCCGGGCCGGGTTTGTAAAATATGGTTATTTGATCCCAGAGTTCTGTGCAACAAACAGAAATCCCCTTCTCTCTNTAAAATATGGTTATTTGCACCTATCCCAGAGTTCTGTGCAACAAACAGAAATCCCCTTCTCTCTTCAAATCTCCACCTTNCAATCCTCTCGGTGGGTTAACATCCGGGCCGGGTTTGTAAAATATGGTTATTTGATCCCAGAGTTCTGTGCAACAAACAGAAATCCCCTTCTCTCTTCAAATCTCCACCTTTAGCTAGGGTTTCTAATCCTGCCTCAACACCCCTTCAAGATACTCCTCTCTGTACCTAGAAGACTAGGGTTTACTTGCAATTAGTCATATAATAACATGGGCAAGCACAGGAAGCTATCGCTCCGTGAGGATTCATCATCATCCTCGTCATCGAAGGTTGATCCTTACAAGAAGCCCTATTCCTCTTCAGCCTCACACCATGCACGAAATTCAGCCCCTCATCATCAAAAGCACCAAGATTTACAACAACAACAACAAATAGGTAAGCGTCCGACTTTCCCTTCATATCTCGAAACCCCCAATTTGCCACCAAAAATGAAACTACTGTGTGAAATCATTGCAAACACTCCTTCTTTGGGTGTCGAGACTGTTCTTGAGGATACCGGTATTCGGGTTTCTCGAGAAGATGTAGAAGAAGTGTTGAAACTGTCTTATGGGTTCCCTGGTCCCGCCGTGAAGTTTTTCCGGTGGTCTGGGCACCAGCTCAATGATAAGCATAGTCCCTATGCTTGGAACTTAGTGGTTGATTTGTTAGGCAAGAATAGTTTATTTGATGCAATGTGGGACGCGATTAAGTCTATGAAGAAAGAAGGGTTGCTTTCTTTGGCGACATTTGCTTCAGTTTTTAGTAGTTATGTTGAGGCAAATCAAATTCAAGAAGCGATCATGACGTTTGAGGTTATGGATCAGTATGGTTGTCCTCGGGACATTGTGGCATTGAATTCACTTCTTAGTGCAATCTGTAGTCATGGTAATACTAGGCATGCAAAGGAGTTTTTGGGTATTGCGAAGGATAAGATTAGGCTAGACGCAGATACATATGCAATTTTGTTGGAGGGCTGGGCAAATGAGGGGAATGTGGATAGTGCTAGGCAAACCTTCACAGAGATGGTGGCAGATATTGGGTGGGATCCTAGAAATGTATTGGCTTATGATACAGTTTTGACTACTTTTCTTAAGGGTCCTGATGGGATGCATTCGGTAATGAAGTTCTTTGATACAATGAGAGATAGGAGGTGCTATCCTGGGATGAAGTTCTTCAAGGCTGCTCTCGAGGAGTGTTTAAAGAAGGTTGATGTGAAAACTGCCCAGTTGCTTTGGGATGAAATGATTGGGAAAAATTGTTGTAGTCCTGATACTGAGATGTATAATTCGATGATTGCTCTACATTGTTATGTCAAGGACACTAGTTTGGCTATAAGCTTGTTGGATGAAATGGTTTATAATGGGGCATTCCCGGATGTTCAAACTNCAGTCCTGATACTGAGATGTATAATTCGATGATTGCTCTACATTGTTATGTCAAGGACACTAGTTTAGCTATAAGCTTGTTGGATGAAATGGTTTATAATGGGGCATTCCCGGATGTTCAAACTTACAACATATTGTTCCAGTTCTTGATTAAGATTAGAAGGTTGAAAGATGCTTCAACAATGTTTTCAGAGATGATTAAAAACGAGTGTGTACCCAGTCATGCAAATTGCAGTTCAGCTGTTAAGATGTACATGGACGGTGGAGACCCATATATGGCTATAAAGGTTTGGAAATGTATGATTGAGAATTTCCATTCTCAGTTGGAGGATATAAGCAATTTTTTGGTTGTGGAACTCCGTGAGATTAATAAGGTCCCTGAAGCAGTTAAATGTGCTGAGGATATGATTGATCGAGGGATCAAGTTGAGCTCTTCGTCATTATCAAAGTTGAAACAAAGCTTAACAAAATCAGGAAAGGCTTTTGTTTATGATGAACTGTTGAGAAAGTGGAAAACTCATTAGGTTGGAGCTTTTCTAAGCCACATTTTCAGCTATGTTATTAGAGTTAGTGCCCGTTTCTTCCTTGTTTATGACATTTCAGTTTTGCTTTTTCCTTAAAAACAAGTGCATTATGTATGCTAAATTGTTGTCTATGATATCTAATATTGTCTTCTTCTCCATCAAATTCTTGTTTTGCTAATTCTAAGACACATACCTGCAGTTTCATAACAAGATGAGAAATGAATAGGTCCATTCTATTATTCTTTCATGGCTATTTATTTAGCTCTGCGATATTGTATCTAGCTTCCTATTCCTTTTGTAAATATACATAAATTTAATACAAAAAAATAAGGGGTTTATAATTTGTCTTTCTTTTGCAAAATTTAGTGTGACAAGAATCTATTTCACTAGGCACGTGCAGAAAAATCAAACAATTATGTAATGTGCATGTGTCTTTGGTGATCTTTGTTAACCAACTGAATCTTTGATGTGATTCCGTGAATGGAATGACCCCACAATGAGGTCTTTTGGGGGCTTCCCTGGCTGTTTGCATCAGATGTGGAGTTTCAAAAATGATTGGAAATTTAGCACAAATTAAGGAGCCGGAGATTAAAAATTAGCTTGTGAAAGGCGAAACATATGCTCCCGAGTCCCAAGTATCAATCTACTGGCCAAATGAGATGCAAGATTGAAGGACAGTGTAGGTTCCTAGCTTACAAACGGCGGTTAAGGTAGAACTCTTACCCTGGAACAGCTTGGCAAATAAGTGCTGCAAAGATACTGAATGTGTGGTGTAATAGCCATCGGTCATTATCGTCAAGGAATGAGGACATTGGAATTTATGGCTTGCCCTGTATTTTGCTACTTCCCATGATTTAAGCATCCTTTGAAAGTTGGAGCTTGCACCTCTCTGGTTTCTGGTTATTCCAGATAAGGTGATATGCCAATCAATATTATTATTGAAGATAAGATGATCTGCTAGTCAAACTATATCCTGTGAAATAATCAGAAGCCACCCTTAGGACCAAGATTGCCTTTCCAGAATAAGGTAAAGGTTTAATAATAGGTTTTGTGGGTTACAGATATTGATGATGGCAATGTGGTAATCATTAATTGCAACCAATGAAGCTTGCCCTTCTTTTATTTTACTAATATTTACATGGTACTTCTTATGTGCTGTTAATTTCTTTGATGTTTGTGATATAAAATATCATTACGATTGCACTTTATCGTGCTCACCAATTCAGTGCATGCGAATCTGTTTGAGCTTTTGGGGGCCAAATTGCCCGCTGATCTACAAGGTTGATGTTTTTTAAGCTCAAGCCAACAGCCGGTAATTCAGCCTTGGAGCGATTCCTCGTCTGTAAAAAGCTGTGCACACAAGGAGTTTTCTTCTTCTGGTATGCATAAGTTGTACAGCAATTTTATAGGTAAAGCACGGTAATGGTGCGAGAAAACATTGAATAAAGTTCACCGCTTTCCACCAAAATGATGTTTGTGTTTTGGAGTCCCTTCTATGCCTTCCCAAGCTTTTTCCCTAATCAGATTTGTGATTTTTCCATTTGACCTCTCACAATGATGTCAAGGAAGAGATGTCTGCATACCAATTCATTTGTGGATGTTGGGTTGCTTGACTTCTTTGAAGTGGAAATTATGGGCGCAGAAGATACTCAAGGCCACATTTGGACAACGAAGACAAAAAGAAAATTGGAGCACACTTTGACATCTGAATTCAAAAATAGAGACCAAGAAGATCAAAAGGGACGATGTCTCTGAGCAAATTATATAGAGATGAATTTTAGAGGAATAGTAGGTGATAGAAACACATTCTCAAACTTTTTGACAAGGAGAAGATTTTGTCCCTGTTGAATTCAATCATCTCCGTGTCTGCGCAGGTTGAATTCCATTGATGTTTGGTTGAAAAAATGAAAGATGTAAGCTTTGCCAATTTGAAGGACTCGAGATATTCCAGCAACTACAAAAGCAACATTTTGATAAGAAAATTGATGATTGAATTGCAATGCCCAAGCTTCCTTTGAATGGCATGATGTTGCATCTGTCTCAGATATGAAGGAGCAACCAGAAAAATGGCACTTCGTTAATTCTCAGGCCAACCATTTTTCCAAGTGAAGCTGGTCAGTGATGGATGATTTTTTTTGAGAAGCACCGCCTTTTTCTTGCTTTTGTTTGATAAATTTATGATAAAGTACTGTAGCAATTATGAAGGTTTTCTTTGTATTATATGTTTGTTGAGGTGTTTTGGCTTGCCATTCTTTTGTCTTGGCATGACCTGCTCACCCTGTCATCCAAAGTAAGCTTTAAGGCTGCTTCTGGGGTCCTCTGAATGTTCTTTTGCTGCCCCTTTTAAGTGCTTCGATATATATCTGACTATGACTATTATTGAATATGAGATTGATACCTATCTAGTACTTCACTGTGCTGAGACTTGCAGATAAATTTTTTTTAACAAATAATGACAAAAATCCTGCATGTTCTTTTTGCTTATGGTTTCTTCTTTGGTTTTTTTTTGGGGGGGGGGGGGGGGGGGG